TCCCTTTGCTCATAGCATCCCAAACATGAGTTTTTAAGTATTTTATATTGATTATGCTATTACGGTTATCCCAGTTCTTTCTCCCCTTTATTCCCCTCCACCCTACACTCCTCCATCCCCCAGCATTCCTCTCCTTTAGTTCATGTCCATGGGTCGTACATATAAGTTCCTTGGCTTCTCCATTTCCTATACTATTCTCAACCTTCCCCAGTCTATTTTGTACCTACCGATGATGCTCCTTAATCCCTGTACCTTTTCTCCCCATTCTCCCCTTTCCCCTCCCCACTGATCCAAACATGAGGTTTTGATAAGGATTTACTTTTGATAATAATGTTCAGCATGAAAAGAATGAAATGTTAAATATTATTAGGGAGAAACATTAAGGGCAGGCTATGCTTTATGTAGCACGCATGCTCCTGAATAATTGTGCACACTCTCTTTCTCAAGGTATAGCAATAGACTAAATCATACTTTTATGTCTAATTACAATAAGATTTCAAAGATTATTCACATTAATTTTGTTATCCTGAGGCATGCCCCCCCAGCCAAACTCATGGTTATGAATGAGGAAAACTCTTTAAAGTCATAACAGAAAATTTTAGATTAAAACCTCAGCATTCTATATTAAAAAAATCAATTTTCATGAATCAGTATTATATATTACCCAAAATGTGTGTTGCCAATCAGAGTTAACAAAAGATGTTGCTTATTCCTAAAGAAACACCAAGTTTATTACTTGACCTTTTCTGAGGGGTTCCCCAAAGATTTATTTATACCTTTGACTATCCACAACGTCAGTAAGGATTGTTCTGCTATAGATTTATAATTTATATCCATTTTCACTTACAGTAAAAATAAATTAACACTCCCTTCCTAGACTCCTCCTTTCACATTTTACTACTGCTGAGCCATTCAGAAGAAAAATTCTTTGAAGCAAGGTTTGGGCGTAAAGGAAAAGAAAGAGCAAATTAAAACACCAAAAATAAAATAATCCGAGACCTGAGTAAGGAAGTTTACTTTAGTATCATGGATTGAAGGAATGATCCTTCTGCAGTATACCATGGCATAGGTATATGAATGCTTTATTGTAGTGTTAAAATAATGTTGGAAGGTGACAGTAGCTTTTTTTTTTATGTAAAGGGTAGAATTTCACATGAAAAGTTCAGATTACTCATTACCATGATTCTGCCCATCATATGGAATGTGTTTTTAAAGAGGAAACCAGGAATTGTTACTTTTATTTTAGTCTTGACAACAGAAGAGCAGTTTCTGTGTTGGAAGTTAGGACAGTACATTTTCTGTGGTTGCAGAATATGACTTGGAAGCGAGAGATCCAGGCAAGGTACTTAGAAGCTTAAGAAACCTTTACTTGTGGGTTTTGATTAGTTCAGCATTGTAACAAGTTTTAAGAGAAAGTATGAAATGCTTATGAAAGAGAAAGTATGAAAAGGTGCAGGGCCTACAAGCCCTGGGAAAGAGGGAGGGTTAGAGATCTATGCTTTGAAAGCTGGATTTCTGAATTTGTGCACTTACTTCTTTAAAAAAATTTTTAATTTATTGATTTGAGAGAGAAACATCAATTTGTTCCATTTATTTATTATTTCATCGGTTGCTCCTTTTTAAATTTTTTTTCTTATCCTCACCCAAGGATATTTTTTCATTGCTTTTAGAGAGGAAGGGAAGGACAGGTTTTTGTCTGCATCTGCCATAAGCATGTACCAGGGCCTTTCCCAAGAGGCCCAGAACCAGCACACCCCAAGGCCAGCTTCAGACAACAGCAGAAGACCCAATAAGCTTTATAAGCACTATATCCAAAGGGAAATCTCAGCAGGCACCAAACGCTGCTGAGGCAGATTCAGCTTCGTGTGGTCAGCACCTGCACAGCAGCTTAAATGCCATGGTCAAGGTTGAGCCTCACAGTCAGCCAGCCTGAGGGTCGATCCCATGCTTGATAAGCCAATAACAATCAAAACTCAATTACGGCAGGAGGGCCCATGTAACCCGCACCAGAGACATTTCTACAGCGCCCCGTGAAGGTGATCAATGAGACTGCACCACTGGGTCCCACAGGGCACCTACTGTATAAGACTACTCCACAAACACTAGGAGTCATAGCAGATGTATTTAACACATAAACACAAACATTTTTATACACCAACAATAAACTGTCAGAAAGGGAAACTAAGAAAATGAACCCATTCACAATTGCTTTAAAATATAAAATACCTAGAAATAAATTTAACTAAGCATATAAAAGACCTATACTCAGAAAATTATAAGACGCTGAAGAAAGGAGCTGAAGAAAGGAACTGAAGATACAAGTAAGTGGAAGCCTATACCATCTTCCTATATAAGAATTAACATCATTAAAATGTCTATACTGCCCAAAGTAATCTGTAAATTGAATACAATTCTTATCAAGATACCAATGGCATATTTTCAAGAAATAGAACAAATGTTCCAAAAATTTATATGGAACCACAAAAGACCCTGAATAGCCACAGTGATCTTGAGAAAAAACAAAGTTGGAAAAATCACACTACATGGTATCAATCTATACTACAAGTCCATAGTAATTAAAATAGCATGTTCCTGGCATAAGAACAGGTATATAGATTCAATGGAACAGAAGAGGGTAAAGAAGGGATAATAGGTAATGGGAGACTTGACTTGGAGTGGTAAACACAGAATACAAGATACAGATGATGTATTGTAGAATTGTATGCCTGAAACTAATATAATTTTATTAACTGTCACCCCAATAAATTCAATACAAATACATAAAAATTTTAAAAAATCAGTTGTATTTCTATACACTAGCAATGAGCACCCCAAAATTGAGATCAAGTAACCAGTTCCACTTAGAGCATCAGAAAGAATAAAATAGGTAGAAATAAACTTAATCAAGAAAGTATGACTTGCACACTAAAAACTATGATAGTGCTAAAAGAAAGAAAACCTAAATAAATGGAAATCTACCCCATGTTCGTGGATTGGAAGAGAAGTTTGCTATTATGGCAATGTTCCCCAAATTTATCTGCATATTTCTTGTCGTCCTTATCGAAACTCCAACTGCCATTTTTTTTTTTTTTAGAAATAAACAAACTGATTCTAAAGCTGATATAGAAATGTAATGGATCCTGAGCAATCAATGACAAGCTTGGAGAACATATACTTTAATGTTAAGACTAACTACAATGCTATAGGAATCAAAAGTGTGGTACTGACACAGAAATAGATCAGTAGTATAGTCAACAATCTAGAAATAAACACAAACACCTATGGTCCATTGATTTTTGGAGTGCCGACTATCCAATGAGAGAATAACCTTTTCAAGAAGTGGTGCTGAACAAATGGATAGCCATGTGTAAATGAATGGAGTTGTTCCCATACTTAACATCATATACAGAACTTAACAAAAAACATATAAAATACCTAAATGTACGAGATAAAACTATAAATAATACTTTTATGGGTGAACATCTTTGTACCCTGGGGATTAGTACCATTCTTTGAAATGCCACCAAAAAACACAAGCAACATACCAAAAAAAAAAGTAGGTAAGTTGGCCTTAAAACTCTTGTGCAGCAAAGAACACAATCAAGAATGTGAAAAGACAACCCATAAATTGGGAAAAAAATTTTGCAAATCATTATATCTAATAAGAGACTTATATCCAAAATGTATGTCTTAAAACTTAATACTAAAACCCAAGTAAAAAATGAGGAAAGGCTTTGTTAGACATTTCTCCAAAAAATACACAAATGGCCAATAAGCTCAAGAGAAGATGCTCAATTTCATTAGGAAAATGCAAACAGAAATCACCATGATTTTGATCACCTGTAAATCCCCCACTAGGACGGTTATAGTGAACAGACAGACAATAACAAGTGTTGACAAAGTTGTGGGAAAATTAGAACCCTCGTACATTGCTGGTGAGAATATAAAATGCTGATGCCACTTTGGATAATTGTCTGGGATTCCTCAAAAAGTTTAACACAGGATTACTATATGAACCAGTGGCCCACTCCTAAATACATACACAGGAAAAATGAAAACATGTATACTCATGAAAAATTGCATATGAATGTTCATAGAAGTATTATTCATAATTGACAAAACATAGAAACAACCCAAATGTCCATCAACTAACCATTTAGTATTTTGGTGCAATATATTAGCCATAGAAAGGCATGAAATAATAATATATGCTGCTACAGGAACGAAACTGAAAATATTAATGCCCAGTGAAAGAAGTCAGGTGAAAAATGGCACGTTTCAAGATTCCATTTATATGTAGTATCTAGAATAGGCAAATCCATAGAGACAGAAAATAAATTAGTGGTTGCCAAGGGCCAATGGGTGTGGAGTTGTCTGGAATTAGTGGTGATGGTTGTACAATACTGTGAATATACTAAAAACCACTGGTTTGTACACTTAGAAATAATTCAAATGAATTTTGTTGTTAATTTTATCTAAGTGCAAACAAAATTTTAAATGATTTCATGAACATCACAATAGAAAAATATCAAGCATTATAATATTTTATTAACTATATTTTTGGATATATAACAAACTACAATCATCTTTGAAGAGAATTTTTATTAAGATAAACTTAGTAAAATTTTGTGGATACACATATAATCAGAACTGCCCTTCTGGAATAAACATCACATTTGGTAAAGATAATTCTAACTCCTTAGCATTACATGAAAATATTTCACCTTCTTTATAAAAGCAACCTAGAGAAGCACACACTTTTTTTCCAGATCTCTCCACATTATGAAATTATTACATACAGGAGTAAAATTAAAATTCAAAGATATAACACATAACTTAAACAAAAGGAAATTTACTGACAAAGTTGAAAGCATGTATTTTTCTATACATTCTTCTATTATAATCACAAACTTATAAAGGTTTCATGTTAGGAAATTTGTGGCTAATGATTAGCGTGAAGATACTCTGAAATTTAGTTAATGCTAAAGAAAAACTGTGCTTATAAAATATTTGATAAAAATATTTATCTCTATTAACATTACAACATGGAGGTACATATTACCAAATTATGAAACTACATAGGGCAGCTTTAAACAACACTCTGAGGCTCTCCACCTTCTTTTTCAACCTCAGCCTTCTTTTCAATTTCCTTTCCATCTCTCCCATCTCCTTTTCCCTTTTCTTCTTTTCCATCTTCCTCCTCTTTTCCTCCTTCCTCTTTTCCATCTTTGTCATCTGTGTCATCTTCCTTCTCTTTTCCATCTATCTCCTCATCTTCATCTTCATCATCATCTTCGTCTTCATCTTTTTCGTCTTCATCATCTTCTCTGTCTTCATCATCTTCTCCATCTTCATCATCTTTTCCATCTCCTTCTTCTTTTCTGTCATCATCTTCTTTATCATCTTCTCTATCTTTTTCATCCTCAGATTCTTTGTCACCTTCTCCTTCCCCCTTTCCACCATCGCCGCCTTTTTCATCTCCTTTCCCTTTTCCATCCTCATCCTCTTTTTTATCTCCTTTCTCTTTTTGGTCTCCTTCCTCTTTTCCATCATCTTCTTTCTTTTTTCCTTCTTCATCCTCTTTGTTATCTTTTCCTTCATTTCCATCTTTGTCTTCTTTTCCATCTTCTCCTTTCTCTTCTTCCTTGTTTGGATCTTCTTTTTTGTTTTTCTTTTCTTCTGATGCCACTGCTTCTCCCTTTTCTCCTTCCTCTTCTTCAACATCAATGTTTACAACTTCTATTTCCTCAAATTCTTTTTCCAGAACAGGAGCCTATATGTAGAGGGGAAAAAAATCATGATTGTATTTTTAAATGTAGAATCCCCCCCTAAATATTTAGACACGATTATATGTATTTTATGAAAATAATAACACTTCATTTACAAAAAGAAGTAATTTTCTTGTGGAAAAAGCCACCTAAATATTATACCACAAGGAAAACATTCTAAGAAATAGGATTAATTAAAATATCTCCACACAAACAGACATTTTGCACAATAACTTCATATTGTGGGAAACTTAATTCATATAAATAATTTTCATTACAAATATGCACCAAAACGTACAGAAAAAGGACATATTTTATATCAGCAATTCTCAATGAGTAGCATACATGTAAACAAAAATGCATTCCTTGAAGAATTATTATGTTTTGTTTCTATAATGGTAAGATTTAAGTTTTTTGTAAAAAAGTTACTTGAAACATTTTGACCATATATCATAAGATCACTTAGACACAGATTTTCCCTATATGCACAGGTTTAGTTTGTAGATTTGGCACTTTATCCCATTTTCATTGTTTTACTATAAAACCTAAAAATGTGATATGCATTAAATATACAAAGCAAGACCTATGGAAACATTTACATAATACTTTGTTCTGCAATCTGCAAAGGGGGGCAAATAATCATGATCTGGGAAAAGGATTTACAAATAGCCCATGCGCTGACAAAAGGAATACATAATTAGTCTATATTTAATGAGTTCATTATAGTATTAAATCACTGTCACTGGCATTGTTCTATTAATAGCAATGCTAAGCCAGTGCTCCCGCCACCCATACATGTAAATCTCATATTTAAATTAATTTTCTTCATTTTCTTTTTCCTTTAGATACCACCATACTGTATGTTAGAGATTGAATGTTTGTGTCCCCCAAAATTCATATGATAAAATGTAATCCCCCATGTGGTGGTGTTTGGAGGTAGGTCTTATGGGAGGTGATTAGGTTATAAGTTAGAGCCATCATGAATGGAATTAGTGTCTTTATAAAGGAGTCCCTAGAGAGCTCTCTGGCTGCTTCCATCATGTCAGGACAGAGAGAGGACTGCTATCTATAAATCAGCAAGCAGGTCCTCACCAGACATCCAAAAATACTGCAGCCTTGATCTTGAGCCTCCAAGCTTCCAGAGTGAGATAATAATTTCTGTTGTTTATAAACCACTCAATTTGTGGTCTTTTGTTATAGCAGCCGGAAAATACTAAGACATTAGAGAACCACCACTCAATTAATGCATCTCAACTTTTAAACTCAAGTCAAATAAGATTTCATCCAGTAGCTCTTATTGTAAAACTTTCAAGTGGACATATCTGTTAGTATTGTAAATACCTTCATAATCTTGGCTTCTCCATTTTTAGCATTGTCATTGCTGTGTTCTTCTTTAACAAATTCTTCTTGCTTGGGTTCAGCTATTTTTTGGGCACTTGTATTTGCAGTGCTTTCCATCGTATCATCTTTTCTCGTTTTCTGTCCAGCAACACACAATAATAAAAATAAATATACAATTTAACTGGTGTCTTGATTAAATGCCCCAAGTTATTTTATCAGATGTTGTCATAATTTATGAAAAAGCTTTAAAATACCTGTATAAACTTTATATCAAGAGCATTATCACTAGATAGTGTGCTAAATTGTAAACTGAAACTGAAGTATTAAAAGAGAAGGGTTTCAGGGGCTGGGTGAAAAAGGTGAAGGGATTAAGAAGTACAAAACATTAGTAACAAAACATTAATGAGGATATAGAGTACAGCATAGAGAATATAGTCAATAATATTGTAATAACTATGTATGCGGCCAGGTGGCTACTAGACTTAATAAGACCATCGCTTCATAAATTACATAAAAATTATATAAATGTCTAACTACTATGCTGTACACCTGAAATTAATATAATATTGAATGTCAACTTTAATTGAAAAATAAAACAAAATTTAAAATAAATCAATAAATCTCATCCTATATATTAAAATGAATAATGTTCTTCCGATATACATCCAATAAAGTTTCTTTTAGATGAGAAGCAACAAGTTAGAATGCCGAGCAGTGGCTGATAAATTAACTGCCTTTGACTAGAGGGGCTAGTTTATCCCTGTCATGTCTAATAATTAGCAACAGGGTTTTGTTGATTACAAATCCTTCCCTGATAATAAGAGAAATACCAGAGAGATTATCAATTTACAGAGATTTGAAAGAGATCACCTGGGGACATAGTTGATTAAATCTATGTGTCTACAAGTTTTCAAATAACTTGAATCATGATTGTTTTTTATCAAGAAAGCTCTTTGAGTAAGGGTGTAGGTAGCAGAAAGAGCACTGCGTGAAGGGACCAGAATATCTGTGACATTTGGATCTGCTACTTACTTGATGTGATCTTGAGCAAAGCATAAATCTCTTTGACCTTATTCATTCACATATAAAAGAAAGCGCTGCCACCACTGTCGCAGGGATGTTATAAGAAGCGAATGATAAAATATATGTGAAACTGCTTTAGAAAATGTGAAACGCAACATGGATAGGTGGTATTTCAAAGTCCATGATCATACCGTGTCTGTTTTATTCTAGCAATATCGTCTATTTTTAAAGGAAACAAGTGTTTACTCTTTTGATAACCTATAAATTGAGTACCTAATTTTATACAATAGTGACCTTGAAATGTGAAATAGAGAAAAACACAAACTGTCTCTTCTACTGTCACTTACTGTTATTACTAAAACTTCACTTGCCCTCATTTTATCAATATCTTTTAACCAAGAATTTCAAAGCATTTTACAAATAAGACTATAATGCACTTTCTTCAAGCACAACACATGGGATTATATCACTCGAACATTTTCATAGCTTTAAACTTTTATGTTTTTAAGAATTCAACCAATCCTTAAAACATACCTCGATAAAGCAGTCAAAAATAAAGTTGAATTATATTCACACATTTACACATAAATATTAAAAAGTATAAAAATGAACTTAATATTGAGGCTATTTCTATTTCCACTGTCTTTAGCCACAACACCAGAGCATAAAAGCCTACATGAAATCCAGTCCATTTAAAAATAATGTATGTGAAAGCACTTTGCAAATTGTAAAGTATTATCAAATATGTTAGTACAATTATTAAAAAGCATTACTTAGGTTACTATATTACTTAGGTTTATACCTTTTGTGTTTTTAGGAATATGGGTATTGTGACTATATGATGTCAAAGGCAGGTACATTTTACAGTTCTATCCAACTAAAATTTTGTTTTGTCTCTTCCTAATGAAAATGCCAGAACACGGTGGACAATCACAGAACATGAACAAATATTCCTTACTCAAAGAGATTACATGTACCAAATGGTATAATGTAACGTATTACTAACTGAACAGAAAATTTTTTTTAAATGATCAGCTGTGTGCTTTCCCAGAAAAACTATTTATGAACAAAAGCGATTTTCTCTTAACATTGCACGTTGAATATTTACCCTGGGAGTTGATCTTTTGGGCTTCAACTCCGGCATAATAGGCACAGGCATCTGCATAAAGAATCCAAAACAAAAAAATGAGCCAACAAACAAACAAACGAACAAAAAACATGAGTTGAGGTGGGGGGAAGGGGAAGAAAGCAGAATGAAAGATAACAAAATTCAACCTCTTCATTACAATAAATAGGTATAGTTCAAACTGAACACTAGGAAAAAATTTCCTTGGTGTGAGAGTTTTGCCTTCAAAACAAACCTTGTAAATATAGAATTGTTAAGGATTACCTGAAGCTTAAAATTATATTTCACAACACATGGGCAGCTTTTTACTACTTACAGCAGACAGTCTGGCTGATCTTCTCTTTGGCTATGTGTGGGGGAAAAAAAGAAAAACCAGTTAAGAGAATTATGGATACACAATTCTAGAATTGTTTATATTTCAGTGAAAATGTTTAGTGTAACACTACATACATAAATATTGTCATTACAGAAGCAATTATGAGCTTGATTATAAAGTGTAGTAGAAATACAATTTTGATTTCTCCCTCCTCTAGACTCTTCATACAATTAAGAAAAAAAAACCTTAATTAAACGTCAATTGCTAGGCTAAATGAACAAAATCACTAGTAACAAGGAACATATTGAAGAATGACAATATAGCACCTTCTTGTAAACTGACAATGCAATTCTTTTGCTTAAAAGGAAGAGGGTCCCTCCAGATCTTAACAAGATCTATAAGGTCCTAAATTCCAAGAAATTTGGAGTTTTCAATACATACTGTATTTTTGAGAGAGATTACTGACACATATATTGGTACTCTTGTGGTAAAATATACTAACAAGCATCTATATTTTAGTTGCTTTTATGAGCCTCAAGTTTTAAAAAGGAGTGGATTTTGGGGGCAGATTCTAAAACTAAAGAAACTCACCTCCTGACTTGAGTCGCCTTGACCTGCAGCCTGTACAGAGGAGAAAACCATACGGAAATAAGGTCATTGATATAAACATACAGATGAGAAAATAATGCCTACGGATTACAATTGCAACATAACCGCTTAGGGTTTTTTCCCAGATTCCCATTCAAGCAGTTGCGCGTTATTTCCTAGTAGCATGCTACATACCACTGTCTACTACTGCACAAGTGTGCACCAAGATGCAAATCTATTCTCAAGACATTAAGTTTATACAAATGATAATCAATTTCATCCTTTTGTGTACATGGCATCTCCTAAAAAACAAGCCTTTTAAATTTTAAAATCCACCTGTTGTAGTCAATGTTAAAGCCAAAAAAAAAAAGTGTTGGGGCGGGCAGAATGAAGGCGGAGCTTCATGCTATTTCCCTGTTTTGCCTTATGTTGGAGATGCAATTGTATTTATCTGAACCCCTCTAATGACTCTGGACTATCCTACCCTCCAAGTTCTGAACACAAGAACTACAACCCCCACAATGCTTTGAAGGGGGGGGATCTCTTTGTTACAACGTCAATGCGTTATTCTGAGGAGCCGGCCGCATTTTTAAAACTTCCCGCCACTACCTGCTACAAGGTTGCTGTCAGCTCTGCAAAATAGCAGGAGGCATTGCACAAGCCTAGGAAAGTGCAACGGCGGGAATCGCAGAAAGGGGGATGGTGATTAGAAACCATTGCTTTCCGTGTCTGAGCAGCGCTCTAGCCTGGGAATTATGAAGCCATTGCAGGATTCATAGCACAGCCCTAGAGCCCCGGGGAATTTCAATCTTATTCCAATGCTATAGAAATAGGGAAGGTGGATAGATAAAGAAGAATCGTATCAAAACAATCATAATGCCTTACATTAGCACAGTGTTTTACAATTTTATCAAGCATGAAACTGCGTTCAATTTCACTTCTAAGGGACCCCTCCTCCCAAAACAAACACCGAGCGTGAATTTATTTCCCGTCGACGAGAGGAGACACGAATTATTAAGTGAGGGTTTTCAGGAGACCTGTAGCCCTTGAGTAGCTCAGGCCAGTTCGTCATGTCGCTATGCCAACATGAACAACAGTTTGTCTGGTTTAGTTCTTTTTTCTTTCCACCTTTAGACGGAGAGCTCGGAGAGCCCCGGAGCTCTCAGCCCTAAAGTTGCTAATTACAGCGGTGAATCTCTCCCTTCCCTAGGACAGTTTGAAGTCTGCGCCGCCTAATGGCACAGGATTACCATTGCATAGCCATCTGGCATGACAAGAAGTGGAGGAGGGAAGGAAAAAAAAGGAAAAAGAAAACGGGAAGAACAAAGGCAAATATGGGAGAAAGCCATGGCTTTCGTACTCCCAAACGGGACGGTTCCCGGAGAAAAGCCGGAGGCTGAGGAGGAAACTGGTGCCTGGAAGTGTGGTTGGGAGAAGTGTTCTCCAATAGGGTAAGCGGAGGAAGGGGGGTGGGGTAGGAAGCGACAGCACAGCGCTATGGCTGTTTGTAATTCAGCATGGAGACACCTCTTAAGCGATTCTTTGCCTTAAACAAAACAAGTCAAAAGTGAACTACTAGTTGCATGCGAGACCATCCTAAACCTTACACCGACTGCTCTTTGCCGCTCCCTCCCCTTCCATTCCGTACATCATAAAATCGAACTGGAAGCCAAAATGCTTTTTTAAAAAAATCTCTGCCGATTAGGAAATATGTATTTCGGTAGCTAATCCCCTTTATATCTTCCCATTTCACTTACCTTTCTTTTGGGCATTGTTGCAGCTCTCCGTAGGAGATTTTAGCAGTGAGCAGAAGAAAAGCTGAAAGCAGTCTCCGCTCCGGCGCTCTGCGAGCAACTGAGTTTTCAATGAACTAATTGCAGCACGACCTGTACTCGCCTTCCCCCTCCCAAAAAAAAAAAAATCTCTCGTTATTGGCAACATTAAACACACCAAGACGCAACCGAACTACGTGAATGGTTAGCTGGAGTGGGAGCCAGATTGGAGTGACAGGCTATCGGGCCAATGAGAGGTGGTGACCAGTCTAGGGGGCGTGGTGCACGGACTTGCCCGAAGCCCGTACGCTCCCAGCTCCGACCGCTGCCTGAGCAGAGGAGCACGCGGACTTGGAAAACGCAAAATGTTCAAGCACGAAACCAGCCAGAGCGCCCGAGTTGTCTCGATCATTTTCCCCCCCCATTTATGTTGTAATGACAGGCAAAAGCCAGTGCAGTTGTTTTCTCCACAGTCTCCAAAACCTCCGCTTTTACTTCTTCCCGGGGCAGGACGTGGAGGGGAGTGCTTTTGAGACCAGGTTGCGCGTAGACTCGTCTTTCCATTCTAACTTTGGCGGGAGGATGGAAATGAACTAAGCGGAGAGAGCGCTCATTCCAAAGTACCAAAGGGCAAAGATGTTTTTCTGGTTATGGGTATTTTCCGCGAAAGCAGAACTGTGGTCCTGGAACAAGGAAGGTGCCAAAATTGCCTGTCTCCTGCAAGTAAAGAGTAGCGCCAAAACTGGGAGCTCGAAGAGCAAGAGGTGCCTGAAGGCAGGGGCACGCGATAAATAACCCTTATCCCACTTGGTGGGAATGCACCAAGAATTCAGTGGGACCCCGCATGAGCTTTATACTATCCAGAGGGAAAGTGCTGTTACGATGGATTTTAAATCTAAAGGGAGGTCCACATATGAAAGTACTTAGGACTCAAGTCAGGACTAAGATGAGGTGGTTAAAGCACTCACCTCTGGCGCAATATTTAAGGATGTGTCCCAAGCTCGACAGATTACAGTTTAGCGATTGAGGTGAGCCCTGTTAAGTGTAAGGTAGAATCCTGTCCTTATTTAAAAATGTGATATTTTGTTAGTCATGGACTTTTACATTCATTTACTTCTTTAAAATAGTGTATTAAATATCTATCTTCATTACTGAGTTTTGGGGTGCCTTCGGGGCGCTTAAGGAGCGTGCTTCCCTAGCCTCGCCCTAGTCCTAGCCATTTTAAGTGGCTTTCTACTCTAAAAGAGGCTTCTCTCTGCTTTCCAAAGTTATTTCCTGAGACCTGACAGTTGTTGGAGTGGGGCTGGGCATTGGCAAATAAGGTATTGAGTATAATTATGGGTAAAACATAGGACCCAAGTCCCTGAAGCCCTTTCTGAAAGTACCTTGCTTTGGTTGTTAGACAGCTAATTGGACGTAAAAGGGCTCCAACAACAGCCCAAATCCCTGCTCTGGAAAATTTATCCAAAAAAAGGGGGGGGGAGGGAATTAACCAAATTAACCTTTCGAACAGCTATTTAAAGAGAGAATTCCATTTGTATTCATGTGGATTTAAAAAATTGAAATGGTGAGTTAAAAAAATAAATATTCATAGCTGTTACAGAATACCAAACTATCCCTTCAAATTAAAATGCAGCCTAACAGGAAAACCCATCATTTTAATTTTTATCCATTCTTCCCCCGCATCTATAGTGGGGAATTAAACAGATTAGGTAGAATAAGACTGACTGCAGCTCAATTCCCTTCTTCCATTCCCTTCTTCCAACCTCATTTTGTATTTGAAGTCAAGTAGGTAAACCAGAAAGATGTTTAAATTGCATCTTTTGCCCATCATTATTAGGATCATCCCCAGATGCCTTAGCTGCCTCTTTTTACCCTTATCGTGAAAGCATTATTGGGTGAGACTAGATATGTTTCAATCATTTTATTTTCCAAGAGTTAGAAGCTAAGCATAAAAATTGGGTTCAATATAAGTATTGCCTCATAAGGATAAAGAGAAACATGAAGGGAATAAATGATCTATCATCACTGGAACACATTCATTCAACAAATATTTAGCATTATTTTGTGAGTTGGATTTTGTTTTTGTAGACTAGCCTAAGAAAATGCAAAGCCCTGTGGCATGAAAAATTACACTGCGTGGTTTGTGGCTTTAAGGATTTTTTTTGTAAGTTTGCAGGATAGAGCAAACAGATGCATACATATTTATAAATCAAGGTTGCTGGTTGCTTGTTTCATGTAAGTTGTGCAATCTAAGTTCAATTTACTCTGAATTGTTTGGTAGATTTGTTATGTTATGGCAAATGCAGAGGTAGGGAGAGTTTGTTCTTATTCTGAGAACAGAATGCCTTGTCCGAGTGGATTGAAACAAATGATTATGAGGAGCTTTGGGAGAGAAGACAGTTGGGAGGCAGAGCAAATCTTTCAGGTCAGTGAGCTCTAAAATTCCCCTTAAGTTTGCAAGCAATTTTCTTTCTTGATCAATTTCTCTTCCACGCAATGTAACCTGTTGCAGTTGTGATTTATGTCTTAGCAAAATGCAAAAATAGCTATACACGCATAAGAAAATCTCTGATATGAAGTATTTCTTTAATTCCTGACCTCCACCCTCCATGTTCTTTTTTCAACCATCAACCAGAGTGGTCTTCTGGACAAACCAACCTGCCCTAGGCTCTTTGCCTTTGCTAAATTATTACTACTGACTGCAGTCTCATTCTCTCTCATCTTCACCTATCTAATGTCTACCAAACTGTTCAGGCCCCAGTTCAATATCACCTCTTTGAAACAAGCCTTCTCCAATCATTTCAGCCCTAAAAGATACTACCTTCTTGTTAGACTATAGAATTTAGATAATACCACTCATATGACGTAAGAAAGCTTGATATTTTCCACTACATCCCCAATAACTCAGTCCTACAACTTCACATTTAATGAAAATTGTATATATTAGTTCCTTTTGCCTAAATATTTTGTCAACACAACACTGCATACCACCTATAGAAGTTAACTTTAAATGCCATTTTTCTAAAATTGATAAATCATTCCTTAGTAAAGTTTTTATTTTTCGTACAATTGTTGAAGTTAGACTTCTTATTGTTTTTTTTTCCTAAAATTATATTGGCTAATTTCTCTTTTTAGATTATTTTTTAATGACTATGAAGGTTGATTGCCAGGCAATTCTCCACAGTGCACTCTAATTTCCACTGGGTATTAAGTGTGCTACTACGACTCTGAAAACTTACAGGAGCTTTAGCGTGTCCATTTTGTAACCACGGGGAAATGACATGGGATGATATGAAAAATTATAGAGGGACACACCAATATTAACCTGTTTGAGAAAGAGAATCCAAAAGAAAATATGGCTTTATGAGGAAAGGAATGCTAGGCAGTTAAGATAAAAGGGATATTCAAATATTTTTGCATAATCATAATTTTAAAAGATATATATATATCTTTTACACAAAAGATATATACACAAAACACTCACTGGGATGTAAAGTACAGCACATGGAACAGAGTCAATAATATAGTAACTATGTACAGTGTCAGGCTGGTACTGGAAATGCCAGGGGGACCACTTTGTAGAGTCTATGACTGTATAACCACTATGCTGGACCCCTGAAACTAATACAAAAGAATATTGAGTGTGAACTGTAATTTAAAAAAATTTAAATTGTGATATACACATACAGTGGAATATTACTCAGCAACAAAAAGAAAAACACTATTGGTGCCCATGGCAATGTAAGAGAATATCACAGACACTACGTTGACTAAAAAAGCCAGACATAAAACAACACATGCTGCTGTATTAAATGTACATGAAGTTCTAGAAAAGGAAAAACTACGGTGACAGAAACAGAAATAGGAGAGATTGAATTTTTGGATGTGATAGGAACTTATGATAATTGATTATGCTGACATTTACACTGCTGTCCACATTTGTCAAAATGCATCACACTGTATACTTTAAATGGGTGCATTTTATTTTATGCAAACTATGTATCAATAAAATGGATCTTTAAAAGTGGGGAAAAAGACATATAAACGATGCATTATTACATGCATTTCTAAATACACTACTTTGCATGCAATGGGATCTCAAAAATACTGGTTCATCAATAAATATTTTCTTTCCCTTATTGTTATCTTTAATTTTGGCCTCATCCACTACCATTATTATCCTTATTATATCAGCAAAACAAAAATGAACAAAAATTAGTTACTATTGTTAGCAAAAAAATAATGTAAAACTTCTAGCATATAATTAAGAGAATATGTTTTAAATAAATTGTTGGTTGGTGTTTTTCAAGGGCCAAATAAATGGTAAGTCTATAGTGAACCAAATACATCAATGTGCTTATTTTTTGAGCTTTGTTTAAGATTGATGTCAGCACTTAGCAGAAACTCTGGAAAAAAATAATCCTGAGACCCAAAGCTTCCCATATTCTATGTTCATTCACAGCAGTCCTGAGATTAATAAAATATTGCATTAATGAGTGACCCCTGATATGAAGGATCTGGAAAATGTTTCCAATGATAAAAAGTAAATGGGGCTGTTTTCTAGAGGAAAAAGGAATATAATACAATTTTATGTTTTTAATTGCAAAATGTCTACCTACTTATAAAATAATAATTTGAAAGAATTCTATTTTTAGGCTTTCAGACCTTAAAGCTTAGATGAGACTGTTAGGACTTGCCAAGTACTTGCCCATGTTTCTTCTTTCTTTTGCCAGAAGAGTGATTTCCAGCTTCTAGTATGTGTCCTCATTTACCTGAATAGTTTCAAAGTTTCTCACTTTAGCTAGAGAATTCTGGTTCCCTTAACTTTACTAAATTCTATCTATTGAATTTAACTTGCTTTTGTTATGGTTAATATCCATGTTTTACATGAAATGTAAGACTTTTAAAACCTTAAACTTTTTATAATGATCAGCCTTATCATACAGAAGCATAGATATAAGTCTATAGCACATAAACTAAGATTTAGATTGGTACACTTCTACACGTTGTGTGAATATTATGGTACACTAACACAATAGCATCTTTAGTTTAAAACATTTATATTTTGGCTTTTTATATTTTAATTTACCTTAG